GAGGCTGTCTAGGGGAAAGACCGTTACACACGAGTAGTTTGCGCCCCCAGAACCCACCATCCGCCCTCCCTACCTGCTGGTGTTGTAGCCCCGCTTCACTTTCCCACTCATGCCTTTGCCCAAGGTGTCCCGAATTTCGTAACCGGCAATGGTCCGCACGCCCTCCGCGTTCACCGCCACGCCAAATCCACCCTCCGTGGTGGAATGCTGGGTCCCGGAGCCTGTCGTCTTGGTCCCCTCTCCGTCCACGCTCATCATGGAGGAACCCCCTTCATAGGAGGCGGTCGCCGTGTCGGAGGTGGCGATCCCGTGCCCGCCGTCCCCGGGCTTGTGCATGCCTTTACCGTTCTTGAGGTCCTTTTTTTTCAAGCCGTTGCTACTGTCTTTGTCGCCCCCGAACAGAAATTTGAAGGGGAAGCAGGCAAAGGAGTTTTTCGATGCGTTTCTGGTCGCCGTTACAGGGGTGGCCATTTGCTTTTGGGTCGTGCACTTGGTACGATAGACGAGGAACTTGACGATGCGGGTAGCGGCGTGGAATGCTGCGTCTCCTGCGGGTCTTAGTTCCTTCGCTGTGGGCGTCGAAGTGTTGTTTTTGCTGTTTCGGGAAGGAAGAGGGAGGAAAAGAGTTGTCAGGGCACTGGTAGAGACAGATGCGAGACGCTCCCAGACTACGCCAGCCAATGGCCAGTATTGCGTCTTATTACGATGAAAAGTCCCGCACGACTCGCACACCTTGTCAAGGCCCATGGACAGTGGCGTTAGTGTCCATGGACGTGACAAGATACCGAGAGACAGGCATCATGCGGACATCAGCACAGAGGGGTCCCGGCCCTCCCTTGTTCTTCCTAGGCAAAAGAGACCACCGTGCATGTAATAAAAACCCATCAAGGGCCAAAGCACCATTCCTACCATCACTTCGACAGGCACCGAGTGCTATCCGAGTCGGGTGCAAGCCATTGGCAAAGGCCACTTGGCTGCGACAGGGTGGGATTGCACCGATTGCACTTGGGTGCTGGTACTGATCGACACAGGCCAGACTTTG